TTGGAAAGGGAAGGGAGTTTTATCCCTCAATCTATGAAGGCATGCAGTGAATGTAAAACACACACATGCTTCACACATAGAAAAACATGCTTCTTTTTTTATTTCTTGAAATGGAAAGAATCATTTGAAATCATTGTTTTTAAGACAAATTGTGTCATTTTGCACATTTATCTTCTAGCACCACAGTTGCTGTGACCACAGCAGGAGGAGGCAGGTCTCCTCTGAGGGTGGCATCTCCACCCAACTCGACAGCAGCAGGGGGAGGGGCCAGCTCATCATCTTCCCCTCTTCACCAGGTACACAGCGTTATAGTCGTACAATGTTGACACTGAAAATGCATATGGTGTTAATTGAGTATTAAATATGCACCTTTCTATGTAAGATTCAAAGACCATTAAAATGCTTCTGGATATAAAGTCTTGAGTGAAATCCAGGCAGAAATAACTGAAATTTATAAAAGCAAAAACATTTTTTATGTATTTGTGAGCAAGTTATTCTACAGACAGTAGATTTATAATGTGATTTGACAGTGAATATTCTGTGCACCATAACAGTATAGGGATGATATTTCAAATTACAGTATTTACAGTGGTAATCCCCAATACTTCTTTAACAGGGCTGTAATTGACAATGGTGTCCTTCTACTGAAATATAATATAATTTAGTCTATACTATTGATTTATGTAATGCATTTGGGTGATAGGGAGGGTTACGTATATCCTTTTACACTTCATCAGATCTTTAGACATGACAAAAGATGGTGTGCAGCTTCAGAGCAATCACATTGAATCCTTTCTTCAAACAAGAATCTATACAGATTATTATATTTTTTCAAATGCATAATCTTTCCAAATATTTTTATCATAAGATTTGGAAAAAAAATCCTTTGCATGCTGTATATTGACTCTTCTGCTTTGTATCTAAACCATGGTTTCTTAGGTAAATTTGTGGGATGCGTATGTCAAATATCTCACACTATGCCATGATTAGAAGTTTTTTGTGTTCTTAGTGTAAATTATATTCTTAACTCTAAGTGGTTTAGACATGATTTACACATACTGTACAGCTAGTTTTAGTTTATAAACCCTCTTTACAAGCATTGCAAATTCTCTCAGCTTATTTACAATATTTCAGAGAACAACGGAAAATCCCTCTCTTTGCAGATGAGTTCAGGCATAGGAAGCTATGCCACTTTGTCTCCCAAACGGCTGGCAGCTCACCACGCTTCTGACCAGTACAAGATCTCCCATGAGCTCTATGCTACTGCTACGCTGCAGAGGCCGGGTAGTCTGGCAGGTGGGAGCTCTCACACTTATGCAGTTTCACATGCAACCAGATATAAACCTGAATAATTGTATTACTCTTTTTAAACAAACTGCACTGTAATAAAGAGATGTTAGGAATTCTGTCACAAATGTGTTAGAGTTGTCTACTCTTCCTCATAGCAACTGTAGGAATGTAAAGAGAGATTTCAGATGATCTCTGTGGCTGTCATTTAAGAAGTTGAACTTCAAATTGAATGCACTAACCATTCATCAATTACATTTGTAAATTTTGAGATGTTTAAGAACAACCAGACAGAAACCTGCTTTAAGAAGATGAAAATGACTCCAACTGACTCCAACTGTATCCTCTGTCTGGGAGCTGAAATTGCTTGAATGACACTCGATTTGTGCAGGTAGCATGAGGGCTTACTGAGTCTCCTGTAGTTGACTAGTTAATGGCTTTTTCTCTTGACTCCACAAAATTGAGCTGGTTGAAGTCAGCCCAGAATGAAAATGTGTTGTGCCAGCTGTTTATAGTGTTTATTTGAGGCTGGCTGTTTGTGCCTATTTGAATTAAATACTTCAGATAGCCCACTGCTTCAAGGACTTTAAACTCCCAAGACTTGTGTTACAAGTGTCAGTCAGAATAAAAGTCACTTTCAACAGCCTTCTCCTTAACATAAGCAATGGCTCCCCTGCTTGTAACTGCAAGCACTGAAAGTCGTTTTGTTACTGGTTATTTCTTTCAGGGCTTATATAAAGATTTTGGAAAACTTTGTCTACCTATTTTTTTCCTTCTTCTTCCTAAATGTATAGAATGAATGTTTTTAGTTTACTGTGTATTAAAGCTCAGTGGAATGGACAGACTTAAAACCGAGCCCTGATTAAAAGTGGCATCTACTCTGTTACAGTGTCCTTTGCCGTAAATAGCGATTTCATATTTACTTGCACAGAAAAAAATATTTGATTGATGAGACCAGGTGTCTGTGTTTTTTAGGTGAATATGTATAAGTAATTATTCCTTTTAAACTTGGAGTTATGTTGATACAGGTAAAGCACATCACCTTCATACCCTGAGGACATAACTGTGATTTTAAAGCAATACCTCGAGATCCATTTCTTCTAAAGACTTTATCCTTATTAAATGAAGAGTACAAGAAAGGATTGAGCATGAATCAGTCCCAGGTTATTAGGATATCATGGTAATCAGCAGCCCTCGGTCATATGATGATCAGAATTTGCTTTCATGAGCTTTATTTGATTGTATCAGGAAAACCTGGATCAACTGGAAATGTAAGAAAAAGGCATTCAAATACTTCACTGTAATTCTTTGTAATTTCTGGTACTCACAATTTTCCCATATTTTATCAGCCAGCAGCTACAGTATTTGTAGATACTGTTAACCAGGGGTCTGCTTATTCCCAGTGGGTGACACCCTGCTGGAAAAAGCACAGCAGAGTTCATCTGGGTAGCCTGTTTGGAGAGGTGCTTAACAGCTCTACAGCACATACTCTACATCGAAGTTAAGCTGCATAAAACAGAAATCGCCTAAAAAAGACATTCCCTCTCTGTGCTTTCTGCATGAGGGGCCTGAGCAATGCCGTCTGTTGTGTATAAATATTGTCATACAGGCACAATAGCATAATACTCAGCTGCAGAAAGTGAATGACCCATAGCAAATAGAGATAATTAAAGGTAATTAATGAATGGAATTTGAGATATGCTGTATGTAGTGACTGAGCATCACTGACACAGACTTGTGGCTGACATTAAAGTTTCAGGTAGAGCAGTGATCCCTTGGATATCCTGTCCTATGACTGAGTTGATTGTCTTTGAGGTTTAGTCTTAACAGGTAAAATCTCACCTTAACCTGGTACAGCAAATACAATGGTCGAAATAGTTGTCAGCAGTGTTTTCTGTCTAAATATTTTATTGAATGAAACATAATGAGAGAGCATCTTCCTCTTTTTTCCAATTGATCATTCAGTCTTCCTTTTTAAAGTTCCCTCTCCCATATAAAATACTAAACCTTTTGGCTTAGTACTGTAGGAATGTCTCATAAGTGGATCCTTATGAGACAAATTAAATTTCCTAACCGGAGGATTAGCGGTTCGATTCCCGGCTTGTCCATTCAACATGTCGAGGTGTCCTTGAGCAAGACACTGAACCCCCAGTTGCTCCCGGTGATGTCACCGGTGTGTGAATGTGTGAGTGCTTGGGAGTGCAAATGGGTGAATGGCCGAATAATGTGAAAGCGCTTTGAGTGTGCTATAAAAGCATAGAAAGGCGCTATACAAGTATAAGACCCTAATTACCATTCCTTAGCGCATGTTCTGACCATCCCTAAATTATCATGTTTGTCTCTGTATCTCCTCGCATTTTCTCAGTTTCTCTCCTTTTTTTTTCTTTTTCTCACTCCTTTTTTCTGACTCCCTCTTCATTTCTTTGTTTCCCTACTGCAGGCTAGCAGAGTGTGACAGGAGGCAGCCTGACTTTTCATTAGTAAGGGAGGTAAACAGGCCAGTTGTTGAAAGGAGCACACAGTTGCAGGCCTGTAGCTCAAAACAGGCGTAATGAGGGAATCCAGTGCTTTATCAATTGCCGTAGTACTGTATATACTGTAGTAGGGGGAGTGGAGGCAGGCTCTTGTACCCAGGCTGTGTGTGCCTTCCTACTTCTTAGACTGAAGAAACTTTAGAATCATGAACCCTTTTTGTTGGGCAGTTAAGAAAAAAAGAGACACCGGACCTAAGTTGCAACATAAAGCTATTGGATGTACAGTACAGTACTTGATCCTGCTCAGATGGCTGAGTGCCTCATGTGCCTCTATTTATGATGTGATACGAAGGGTGGAGGGGTTTTGGCAGTATTAAGTTGATGGTGGATACAAAGAAAGATTGGAATCTGAGTCTTGTAACCCAGAACTCTTCACCCTTTATTTTCTGGAAAATGGTACACGACTTGTTTTCAGAGATAACGTGATGTGATATGCCATTAGCTCCAATGGACCATCTCCATTTCTCTCAGCTACTCATAGATTTCTAAGTCTGTGTATGCGTATGTGCATGTTTTTTTCACTTTACATTTTGCCATGTCACCTAAGCCCTGCTGACGTGCCTTCATATCCCCCATCCCCCCACCTCTCAGTGTTTTCAGAGGGAGGCCTCTGTCTTTTATTACATTTGCTTGGCCATATAATGAACAAATGCCTGCTGTCAATGTCTTCCTTGCCCTGTGTCTCTGGGATTCCTGCCAACCACAGAGCAAGAAGGGGAACACTGCATCTCATTATTTTATAGCTGACGACCAGCAATGTGTTCTGTGGAGATTTAAAAAAAAAAAGAAAGAAATACACTCCTTCTCTGTCGCTCTTTTTTCTTTGTCTCTATCTCTCTTCTGTTCATACACACACAAACAAAAACACAACCCTCACTATTATGTGTCCACTGTGCTGCCTGTTATTTAGCGCTCTGTAAAACCAGGTGGATGGTGAAAATGGACAGGTCTAAAAACAGAGGAATCATATAGGCCTGCATATGTTGTGCTTTTTCTCATCCCAGTTACTGTCTTTTCACCATTATCTTCACACCTGTTCCTTTCTATCCTCACCCCTCTATTGTTTCATCTAACTCCATTTGACCTTATTTCTCTAAGTTCATTTGCTCTGTACCACCCTTCCTTACTTCCTGTACCCTGTCTCATATTAGTCTCTCCCTCATTTGTCCTTCTTTTTTCTTACTTTCTCTTTTCTTCAGGCTCTCGTGGCTCCTACAGTAATCAGCACAGTCAGGAGCCCCTTCGTCCTTTGGGTTCCCCAGAGCACCACATAGATCCCATCTATGAAGAACGTGTCTACCACAACAAGGGCCCAATGAGGAGCCTTAGCCAGAGCCAAGGGCCAGACACAGGTCCTTATCGCAACAACACCGGTAAGGCGTTCAATGTACAGTATATGCATAATCAGCATTGTGTTAATCTCTCTGTATTCTATGTGGCCCGTATCCCCATACCAGCAGAAACTGCAGACAAGCAACAAAACTGTGGACAAGATTTGCTTATATGCAAACCTAATCAGAGAGCTGGGACAAGCTTATGCAAAGAGACAAAAGACGTGTTCATTAAGAGCTAATTTACATTTCTCCGTCAGTCACACACCATGCATCCACCATGTTTTTTTTTGATTGATTGATTTTATTCTTTCAAGCATGTAAAGACAGTCGATATGTCAACACACATAATTTCACACATATCCACAAATGCTAATCCATTATCAATTTGCTTATACCTAGTACATGCTTGAACGGAGTAGGAAGAAGTTAGACTTATCTAGTCCTACCCCCAAACATCATCTTACCATCATTGGTTTGCAAGCAGTATCTCTACATAGATAATTTTGTTCTACACCACGCAAGTAATATACTAAAGAATTATTACATAGTGTTAACATTCTTTCACCACACCCACAATGTTAAACTTGTTCTTGCATATATCTTGATTGACACATACCTTTATACTTATGTTTAAACTCATCAATTCTATTACTATTTTTTATGTCCACACTTAAATTATTCCATAGTTTTACCCCACTTATGGAAATACAAAATCTTTTTTTGGTTGTACGTATAGCATGAATTTTTAAATTTAACTGACCCCTTAAATTGTATCCCCCTTCCCTTTCATTAAATAGTTTTTGAATTCCACCAGGTAATAAATTGTTCCTGGCTTTATACATAAACACAGCAGTCTTGTGTCCCACTAAATCAAAAAATTTTAACAATTTAGACTGTACGAAAGCTCCATTGGTGTGATCCTTATACCCCATCTTATGCACAATTCTTATTGCTCTTTTTTGTAATATATACAATGGTTGAAGTGAGCTTTTGTATGTATTTCCCCAGTTTTCAACGTCATACTCTAAGTATGGTAAAATCAATGAAGAATACAAAATGTGTAGTGCTTTCCCGTCCAACATATAACTAAACCTTGCCAATACCGATATATTTTTGCAATTTTGTTCTGAACATATCTGATATGAGATTTCCAGGAGAATATGACACCTAGAAATTTAATTTCAT